ATACAGTGATATTGCCTTGGATGACATAGTGTTTAGGTAAGGTTGGTCAGATCAGTGATGCAGATGAGTTAGGGTAAGACTTCCTCAATAAGATGCCTCCATAATAGTACATCAGTGATTTTGCAATGAATGCTCCTATTCCGATAACCACCTATATTTTCATCACCACTTGTCTAATAAGCTGACCCCAATAATAGTAAATGCTCTCCCCAACCCACATTCCAATATTTGCTCCCATTGTTTCATGCCTAGTTTTGTTTTGAGCTAAAACAGATTGTACTAGAAGATCAGAGCTTGTAGTTTTACCATTTAAAAGAATTTTCCAAGAAAGAAAGATGAGTAAATATAACATAAGTGTACTTAATCAAATTGTTAAAAAAAATTTTGGTTGTGTTTTTTTACTTGCCCACCCCCTCTCCCCTCCCCTGTCCCCAGTTTGGCATCTCCCAAAGTTGACAATACACTATTTTGATCATTGTCACTTTTTAGTGCAAGTTGTGGTTCTGAAAAAGCTTGTCGCAGTCCAGATGTTATTCCCATCTTTGGAACCAAAGAAGAAACAGGTATATGTTGCCACCTATAACTGCTCTTTATGAACCTTACAAATGTCCTGATGACAAGATAAATTTTCCTTCTAAATCAGTGTTTATTATAAGAAAAGGGAAAAACCTTTACTAATATGAGGGTTTTTTGTTTTGTGAAATGGAGAGATTTTTTGTGAGATAAACATATAGTGGTGTTACTGTGGTGTTTAAAGTGGTAGTGTCCTGTGTTGCTAGTCTAAACGTGTTCCAATATTGTTGATGTAATAATATCAAACACGATGTCCAAACACCAAGAAGAAAGCAGAAATTACGATGCTCAGTGGAGTACTTTTGACGAAATTCAAGGTGTTTGGATAGCCGATGAAAAACTGTCTTAAGTGTTTGATACATCTTCTCAATCGAAAAAAAAAAAAAAAACTAAGAGGTAAACGAAGAAGTAAAATCATTAAAATCTATGCTTATTAAGACTGGGTATCCAAACCTCCTTCACGCTTGTGATTTACTTTGTTTTAAATTGATGAATTATTAATGAGTTTGAGAAGATCCCATCCAATGTTACTCTCGACAGTCATCAAGTGTTTCTTATTTGTTGAGGGCTTTATTAATTCCATTATTATGTGAATGAAATTATTGTTTTTTCTCAGGCATACATTTGTCTGTGAGTAGTGGCAGTATTCTGGGTGGAGTGAATACAAATCATTCTATCAGAGGCAACTTGTCCTTTACTTACAACACCTGGACACACGTGGCCTTGCAGTATAATGATCAGACGAAACAACAAGTAAGTCCTCTTTCCATCCATTAACATAAAGGGGTGGTGAATGGTAAATGGAGGCTTTGTGAGAAGGCGAGACAAGTGTTTTTCTTTGTGAGCTGAGAAGTTTTCACTTTTTAAATAAAGAGAACGAGACATTCAGACTCTAAGACATTCAAACATTATTATGTAAATGGCTGTGGGAAGATTGCGAGTTCTGAAGTTGCAACTAGCCGAAGTTGCAATATTATTGCAAGTTGAGAGTTAGAGTTGCTAGTTGTGAGTTGCCATTTACAATTTGCATAATCTATTCCAGGCTCTCAGAAAGCCAGAAAGCAGAAGAAGGCAAACGTAAAAATGAGTGGGATGGGGAGGGACAGCAGAAGCTAGGCGTTTACATCCAACGAAAGTAACTGGGCATTTGTTTACCAACATAAAGAAAGTCATCAATAGTTTCATGAACAAAGATAATTTAAAAGTGGTAGGTTACCTCGTAGTGAATGCAAACTTTAAAAATGCAGTAATAGTTGACAAATGTAGAAAAGTGCAAACAAGGTAAGATGTTGAATAATGGTAAAGATAAGTAGTGAAAAATACAGAGAACATCCAAAATTTGGTTTGTCAAAATTGAACATTTTAAAAAAGCACCTTACCCTTAGGTTTACAGCATCGTGCCATTCTGTCCTGTTTCTTTCTTTTTCCAGGTTCTGTTTGTTAACGGCAGAGTGCATCAAGTAATGAGCAATGTTTCAGCCTCCTGGTTGCCATCAAACCTCCTCTTGGGAATGGATGGTGCACAGTATATGGCTGGACAGATAGACGAGGTACAGCTGTACATAACTTAACCTATCTTAGGTTCTGCCATCCAGGGTAAAGACACTTGTAAATTAAGCGGACATTTAGTTATCTACAATAAACTAACTCTTCAAAGTGTATTGATCAGTATGTGTTCAGATATATGTCAGAACTATGGATATGGTGTAGCTTAGTGGTTTAGAGGGGGCTGGATTTGAAATCTTGAGGTCTCTTGTACCCCACAATTATTTTGTTTATTTATTTTACTGCGCCTTTCAATAACACGCGGACTCTAAAATTCAAAGCTCAAACGACAAATGCATTTTTCACTACTGTCAATCAAATGTTCGGTGGCTCCTCCCAGCTTCCGACTACTGCTGAGCACTGTTCCGTTGTCTGAACTGTGCTCAACGATTTGATTACCGCGTGCTCAGCAGTAGTCGGAAGCTGGGAGGAGCCACCGAACATTTGANCACTGTTCCGTTGTCTGAACTGTGCTCAACGATTTGATTACCGCGTGCTCAGCAGTAGTCGGAAGGTGGGAGGAGCCACCGAACATTTGACTGACAGTAGTGAAAAACGCATTTGTCGCTTGAGCTTTGAATTTAAGAGTCCACATGTTATTGAAAGGCACAGCAATACTGCATCCACGTTTATCGCAGCAGTGTTAAATACATAGACACTGAAATAATGTCATCTGTTGTCATAAATTCATACAGGTCCAAATCTGGAATGCCGCTGTCAATGTGTCTGTTTTCTATGACAAATACTTGAGGGGCACTGAAGAAGGGCTGGTCAGATATTACAAGTAAGATGGAGATAAAAAACAAATGTACAAAACGACAACCATCTTGACTCTAGCAAACAAAGGAACAGTGGCATAAGCTCAATGATACTTTTGCAAGCCCAAATCTTGAAAATGATTTAATTTTGCTGCCCTTATTAAATTATCATCAGACCTACTTGTTCAAAGATTGGACAAAGCTATTCACTGCTATTCACGGAAAAAAAGTCACACTACTGACTATTCAGCAAAGAAGTGTGATTAAAACCAACTGTGTTAGTGATTGCACCCTGATTTATCTGAAAGACAGCTTTATTAACCTTTTCAACACCTGTGCCCTGACGTACCAAGGTGCATAGTGTTGAAAACAGACTTTGATCAAAGCTTATCATTTCCAAGAACAGAATCCCTTTA